CAAGCTCTAGCAAATAGCGTAAATATAAATTGACTAACAATGCAATCAAGGATTGAATAGTTATCTGGATCTAATTCTTAGTGTTCCTTCGCTTGACACCTCATCCTGTTTTAAACTATGCACTATCCTGCAAAATCTTTTCTTCCGACCACCGCCTGCCTAATTTCATATTCTCGAGTTCCATTGCCAAACAACAAGGATGACACTTCTCCAAAAACATACGGTGAGTTTCAGCTATAAGCTTCCTGCACTCACAAAGTCATTTTAGATGACTCGTTCAATGGCAACCACACAATTATCTGGATTCATTCGATCGTTCTGATCCGAGCGAGTGGCAAAAACGCCAACAGCATCAAACACCCTGGAATTAATTGCCATACTGCATGTTTTATTCTGGATACTTTTGGATCATTTCTACTCCTCACGAATGGCGTTATATATTTCGTCCACTGAATAATCTAATTTTCAAAAATAATCCATACGAGTTCAACCATTTCACTTAATGATTTTTTGTACTTAACATGTATATATTTTCCAGTTGCTTTTGCCATATATTTGTAAGTGTCCCTAGGCATTACCTTCTTACGGAATGTTTATAACGCGTCATATTCCTGCCTGAAGTTTCATAAGCAGTCTTAACTTTAAAATTATCTTTCTGATCATGTTCATTGTTTTCAAATTGTCATATACGTCAACAACCTGCATGTTAACCTGGCCCGTACATGCGTTGCACTATATCTTCATGTCTTCTAAATTTAGAAATCATTTGAATCACCTATAACATTTATCAATAAACCCATCATAGTCGTTGTTGCTAATCGTATTTGGATTTATGGATTGGTTTATCATATAAGCAGCCTAAAATGAGAACATAGTTTAGATAATAAGATTAAAAATTTAGGTACTATCAACTGCACTAGTAAAATAACTAAATCCCTAGGTAGCTGTTGACTAAACAAACGTTTAAAATCAAAACTCCGTAGCCTACCAGTATTAACACTAAACAAACCTTTCTGAATTAAAATTTATAATTAAATTAGGCGTCTCGGATTCTTTAACGTTACAAATTTCTGATGATTTCGAATCACCTAAAGCAACAATACCTATTTTTCCACTGACTAATCCTCAGTCAACACCATGACTAGTTAAACATAATAGTTTCAGGATATCGTCATAAAGCATTGTCATGACTTGACAATCACGTAATATGATTGATAAAATTAATGAAGCTATTAACAAAATCGGTCAGCAAATTGACATATAATTATCACTAGTGTTGTTTTTCTTTTATCTTCATTCACTACAGATGATTACAGTATGTTTCTCTATCAGATGCTCACTCAGTAAATATCTCGAAACCTTGTCAGTCTAATTGGAGGTTTAGCGACACAATAATGCATGCAAATAATCGGTATAAGCAGTCGAGCAAATCTCCTGCAAACTGAAAATATCAATGTCGAATTTACCCCAACACTGACTAAGGTTCAAGCCATTATCATAGACGTCAATTGGGAGTGTACTCCCCTTGGTTACAACTTATGTTCTTCCTGATAATCACATGAGCATCTCTCACTGTTAATCATCTTGTAAAAGCTTATTTAGCCGAATAGATCCTGCAGCACCACATCACCTAGTAATATGACACATCGGCCTAACTGATTTCAATAACGTATAACCACTATATCTCAATCAAATCGTATTCCGCCTTATGATAAACTGCATACTTGCAACTAACTTGTATGCATCATCAGCCGTCAGGTATGAGTAGTCTATGGCAACTCAGAACATTGAGTCTAGAGCATTTCTCTTACGAATACACTCATGTTTAACGATTTGTTCTTAGCTATCTGTCCAAAACTCATATAATTATCACTCATGTATTGGAATTTTGTTTCAATAACCATTCATGTGTATTAGTAGTATTAATAAATTCTATCACGGTCAAGTAAAAATGAGGTTGAGAAAATCTCCCTGTAACTAAATAAACCGTATCAAACTAACTGGAACACTAGTTTGAATTCTTCTCCACGGTATACTTTTGTTCCTTCAGTTAGCCTACGAATACAGATGCATTTGGAATTCAACTCATATGGACAACTTACCGGCATAATCGTTATTTGATTTCATAATTTAAACCAAAACTAATACCAATATTAATATTTCTACAATATTCATAACTTTAATACTTCTAAACACAAAATACTTACTACCTATACGTTAAGTTATTAACCAACGACTATTAACACGCATCGTTTTATTATTATTATTATTACTATTATTATTATTATTATTATTATTGTAATCTTATTTTTTATAGCTCAAATAATCTTCACCCAAATTTTCATTTCAAGCATGTTAAGCATGAAGGCAGATATTTTAAAATTATTACATGTATTCCCCGACCAGATGCTGCCGCCTTCTTTTTGATTTATCTTTCAGCTTGTCATCACCCAGGGGATTTTTACTAGTCTTGGTAACCTTCGGCACACTACAGTCCCATCCAATTTGGTATCGAACCAACACCACGTTGATTCTGGTGGGAGAGTAGTGTAGTGGCATTGGACCATAACCACACAATCCTCAAAGCTGAATACGAGATTACTCCGAAAATAGATATTCAATATTTAACGCGGAGAAATACCTAAGAATGGAGAAGGCGCGAACAGGGAATTGAATGAATCGGAGTTGATCGAATGGCATTGCTCGGTCATGCAGGCATGGTCCCCGCTGAATATTACCTTATATCTTTTATTCATACTAAATATATTGTTCTTCTCTAGCCTAAGCTCGTTCTTCATCATGTATTGGTAGTTGTTACGATACAGTGAGTTGCTGTAGACGATGACGTGACCTCCACGTAAGATCTTATAGATTAGGCAGTTATATCATGACAAATCTACAATTTTAGGATTAGGTCTATTATTAGAGCAGTACTAATATCATAGATGACCATAATTCTACAGGTTTATTAAGAAGAGATGTGCAAAAGCTCTGCCTTTTAGAGGGAGCCGAGTAATTGTAGATTGTAGCTTAGGTTTATGGATGTACAGGCGTACTGTTGTAAGTCCTATGCTTCCCATTGATATATAGCAGTTATTAAGGAAAGCCATGGCAGAAATGTATTCTAAGGTGTCTTTGCGTAGTTTGAGGGATTTTGGGGGCCGGTGTAACGGAAAGAGAACAGTGAAAATCCCTCTGCAGCTTCTTTATTGAACAGTATTGTCATTTATTTGTTCCTTCTCCCCTTTTGTGCATTTTAACCCTTGTTCCGATTTCGTTTAACCATGTATTTTGTTCTTCAGTCTTCCCCGTTTGAGCCTTTATTATGTGAATCTGATTAAAGACTTATTTTTGGTTACCTAATTTTCTGTTGCATGTTGCCGGACCATATATGCTACACGGACGCCCATGGTCTTCGAAATAAAGTTTGATGGTAGAAGAGTTAATTCCCGATATAATCGTTGTCGCAAAAAATTGGCTCACCGTAGATATATACTGTTCTCCCATCATTATAGGCTAGATTTGTGTTAGAAGGGTTAGTTTTAAGTCGTATTGGAGGAGGCATAATGTTATACGTTAGGGATCATTTTCGTATTTATTCAGTCGTATTAGAGGCTCTGAAAGTGGTACATGTGAGGTAGGATGTTGTACAATGAAGTCTAGAAACGGGTTAGTGACTACTGGGGAAATATGCCGTAGTCCGTGTTGTTTTGCTGACGACTTTATTTTTAGACACATTTATTCTTGGAGTAAAGTAGAATGTTGTGTCATTATTAGAGACTTCAACGCACCGCATATCAACTGAATAGAGTTAACAGCTTCCGGTTGGGTTTTCGATAGCGACTTTCTATCAACCATTATCCATTGTGCACTTGTACAATGCATCGCAAAACTTACACATATTGACTTGAAACATGACCCGCCATTGCTGGACTTTGTCCCCACACACTACTGTGAGGATGCCATCGACATTCAGCACCTTTCCCCACTAGCGAATAGTGATCACATTGTATGATGAGCTTTCAAAGCGCATAAATCTTTCCCCCTTGTCGTATAGTGGGACGCGAGGTGATCTTATACTAGCATTTCGTATCTTTTATTATGATTTGGGTGTCAGTATGTCTTATCTTATTGTTCCCTACAGCACTAAAAATGTCCAAGATCATAGCAAGAAGGTTCACAAACCGCGATCTAATAAGCTTAACGGGGGGTTCCCGTTTTTCTCATCCAGTAGTTAATGACTGAAACGCCTTACCCGAACAATTGATATCAGCCCCATCAATGAAAAATTTCGAGGACGAGTTGAACCTTCATTGGAAGGCAATCTTTCAGGATCAACATAGGTTCACTAACCTACTATCCAAGTTACTGAAGACTGAAATACTGGCGGGTTTTTCAATTGGGTTGTTACACAGGGGAGGCATAGGGCTAAGTCGTCAGATCTATTTTATATGAAAGAAATCAGATCAATACCCTATATTTGACCCTGGGTTATCATTTTTCTGTAAAAATGAGTCCTCAACTTATCAAATTACTTTATGTATACAGAAGCAATACATCTTTATATAAAGGTGTTCAGTCTCATTATCGTCACTGATACATTGCCTAAACTCTTTTATTACTCGCCTTGTTAGTCTTATCCCGTTGTGCTAATGTGGTATGGTGAGTTGGATAAACGCACGTTTGAGTTAGGATCTATGTTGATTTTCACTAAACGACCGTAGATGAATGCATAAATTTATCGAAACTTAATCTTTGATGTGGATACATTGTTTTTGCGTTAAGTGTATAAAATAACTTTTCTGACATCATTATATAACGGTGTCTTGATTTTGGCAGAAATTTGAGGAAGCCGCCAAAGAAGCTTGGGGAAATTTTGGAGAAATGGCACCGAAACCCCAATATTTCCCCAAAATTTCCTTTTAACCTTGGTGACGGTCATTTGGCTTCGGGGATTTCCCCAAACGTTTCTCTAAACTTTGCTGAAGGTCGTTTGGCTTGGGAGGTTTCCCCAAACTTGGGAGATTAGGGTCTACTGCTAAGACAGTAGTATTGATGTACAGAGAATAGGTGAACGGTTTCGAACAGCATTTAAAAGCGGCAAACTCCACTAAGAAATATTCGAAAAAAAGTTCCATCCTATTTTTCGATTTCCTAAACAACTATGTTCTATTTATTGGCTAAATATTTTTCTAGTAAATTAATAGTCGTTCGTAAAATTCAATGCTATAATCGTCGGGTCACGTGTTCAGATTTTCTAAATCTATTTCGGTCTGGATGTTTAGGATATATCAGAGGGCATCTAAAATATGCCTCTTATCACCTTCGTTGTCATTTGTTAATTAGATAAATAGTTACATTTAGCATCTTATATCTCAAAAGACTAAAATGTATAGTGTTTTCTCATTTAACACTGACTAATTGCAAATACTAGTGGTTTTTTTCACTTTGTAATACTGTCGATATTCGGTTTTATTTTACATCTACTTTATATTTCATTAGATCCTTGATCATGGGTACTTTAGATCCGTACCCCAGCTCATCAACTAGTAACTCAAAAAAGTGTATGAATAATCCTATGAGATTCTCAATTAATAAGGATGTAATAAAAAAAGCTGAGAATCAAGATGTAAATTCAATTCAACGTATCGTCGCATATGATCACTTAGAATTTGAAACAAGTATGTTCATATTCTTGTTTTATTTTTCTATGAAGGTGTTATTGAGCAAGCTAAAAATACTTTCAAGAGAAATAACAGCCTTCAGATCAGTGCGACAAGAGAAAGACTTTCTACTCTAGACGATGATATAATGTATGTTAATATTGTTTATCTGTCATCTCACAGGTCTGCTCAACATGAACTGGAAAAAATGGAACTATCACTTGATACACTGCTCGGTCAGGTGTCTATTGAAGTGTCTAATAGCAGTTTGGAAAATAGGAAAATACGTTCTTTAGAGTTGGAGATAGAAACAAAGGCAAGATCCACTCTCCGTAAAGTGTTTATTGTTTTTGTAGATGAAGCTTATTGACACTTTATTATCTAGAAAATCCGCTCTGTTGAGTAAACTGTCTTCTTTGGAGAAGGCCAACTTTATTTCAGATGGCAACGTTTCAAGTGAGTATTTTATTCAAGTTTTTGTCACTAGAAAGTAATCGCACGCTCTTCGAGTAACTGCATCTTACACTACAAAATACGAATATATACCAAGACATGTAGTCAAAGCATGTTCATTTTGATTATTTTGAATGTATAGTTATGGTAATTTTTCCACATTACATATGATTCTTTTCAATAGAGAAAAAACAACTTATCTTTATATTGAAGTGTTCAAATCAGTTGTATTTTTTCTGCCTAGAATAGTATCTCTGACTTAAATTTCCCTACCATAGTAAATACATGGTGGCGCCTTGCATTTCAGAAGAGAAAATTCAGTGTTTTACACTCCGTACATAAAGACAACAAAAACGGCAACGTGTATATTCGTATTCTCCTGAATTCTTTGGGTTCCCTTCTATAGAATACTGAATAGACAACTATCGAGTAGAATTCTGTCCGAATGGCTCTTTTTGCTGTGAAATTTAATATTATACGGTCATAAGAGTTTACAGTGCAAATGACAGATACTTGAAAGTTAGATTGTAAGGGTTCGCTATAATTACTAATAGTAGTCTAGTTAATAACTACACTTTGGCAATACATATTACATTTTGGCTGGATATTTAAATGTACTTGTAGATTAGACTTTTTTAACACTGATCTGCTTAGACTGATACATTTCTCTACTACCAAATTGCAGGACTAGTTTTTGAAATCGGATTATTTTGTTTTTGTAGTTGTTGTATCGTTATTATGCGCTACTAATCTTCGTCATTTAGAGTTACCCGTTTTACCTTCGTAATTTAATACTAGAACCAGATGAAGATTTGCTAAGTGTGAATATCGTGAAACCACTGTCCGCAGATGACTTTAATTCTCCTATAAAACATCTCAGTACAAAGTTATATAAAGTAAAACGTTGTGAAAACAACGCTGTGGAACCGAAAAAGCTGTCTAAATCTAAACATAATGATGATGCTGATATAAATGCGTTTCAGGAACGATTGAGACGTCAAAGACGTACTGAATTATTAGAGGAGCAATTAGCTAGAGAACATGAGGTTAGTATCTTTTGTATACATTTTTAATGAGTTCATATTACCTCATGATGTTTTTATTATGTTATCAGACCATCAGTCAGTTATGTAAGTAATTACTAAATGGATGGTGAATATTCTAAGATTTTTTGTTCTTCGAGAAGTTACTGTACAATGGAAGAATTTCCCCCACGTAATGTTTACTAATGATTAGTGGTTATATTTAAATTAGGATTACTCTAATTCAAGAATGTTGAGTAGTTATATTTTACTGATAATCTGAAGTGAAAGTTGTAATTAGAAGTGATCATGATCCACCTCTAAAGTACATTTTCGTGAGATATGTCTGTACATATGGATGTAAACGCAGTTCGTCAGAGTCAGATGCTTACGTTCAGGATTTAGATGACGATAGTAATAATTATTCTTCTGAACAGCATAGAACTTATAACTCGCCAACACAACACACAAAGGAGACGACGTCGGTCATTTACGTATGCTTTACTTCAAATGAATTTATCCTTCAGGTCGAAATATTGCCATTGTCAATCAGGATTTTGGATCCGGGCAGTAAATGGTGAGTTAAAACTCACCTCTATTAAAACCGTGAACAACCATCCTTGCACAGAAGGATACATTTCTGTCGATCGATCGAGACGACAGTTGACGTCTGTATTTAAGAACGTTTCTCATGAGTAATACACCAACTCGTAGCTTACGGTATTTGGTTTCTTGGAAGTTCAATAAACAGCTTACCAAAGACGATATTGCCAGAATGCGTTCACAGTTGTACCCAGGTTGTTGAACTCACATTGTAATTATTTGAGTTTAGACACTAAAAATATCAATGAAATTTTACAGCGCGTTCAAGCAAATACTGAAGTTAAAGTATTCAATGAAAATGGGAAAATGTCTATGATTTGCTTCAGCCACAGAGAGCAAATAGCTGTTTGCCACGCGTTCTCGGAAGTAATATGTATTGATTCGACTTATCAGACCAATAAAGTCGGGTAAGTAACGATTAGTAATAAATTTATCTGAAAGTTTTCCACTGTTCCATCTATTGGTGACTGATAGTCTTGGGCAAGGGCACATTGTTATATATGCTCTTTGCAGTCAAGAAGGACGCGAAGATGTCGAAAAACTATTGGAATGTTTTAAAGAGATAATGTGCGGTACTTATGCTACACGCACTTTCATTATGGATTCGGCGGCGAACGAAATTTCACCTGTATAGTCTACGTACAGTCATTCTAACATAATACTTTGTTCATTCCATGTCTTGAGAGCGTTTTTTAGGATGGTATGTGTTAGCTGTACAAATTATTTTCTGTAGTTCCGAAATCCTGATGTGCGCAAATGCTTGGAACACCTTGTGAAGACTAGACGGTCTGATATGTGAGCTTCGCTTTTCATAACGCATTATATTCAGATTTACTCGAAAGTACGAACATCTAAGGATGCATTTTCCACGAGCGTATGATTACATAAAAGATTACTGGATTGCCAGGAAGTCAATGTGGGCTCGCTGTTACCGGCGACATGTATTAAGCCTGGGCAACCACACAAACAACCGTGTCGAAAGTGCTCATAAACACCTAAAAGGATGTCTCAGAAGAGGTGATTCCCTGCTATTGACGTTCTGAAAAATTTGGAGTAAAACAGACATTGACCTACGTTTGCGTCCTTATGACTCTGTGAAGGATCTTCAACGTTTTCCAGTTCTTCAGGTAAGAAATATAGTTAAATGTATCATTAATTCCAAGTTCCAATGTCACTTCGAACTCTTCCTAATGAGTTCACATCTTTTGCAGCTAAATTGTAGCTGTAAATTATAAACGTGTTCGGACGATGAGACACGGATTTATAGAAGGAGAATACATCCGGTGCCACGACAAGGGTGTGATGTATGTTGTTGATACTTCACGTGCACGATGTGCTTGTGAGCGTTTCAATTACCACATGCTGCCCTGTGGTCATATTTCGTATGCACATTCTAAAGATCTGATTTGTGGATGTATGTGTGTTCCTTTATCTCTATAAGTTTTGTAGACTTATTTCGAAATAGCAACTTGCGGACAAAAAAATAGCATGATGGACCTGGTTCTTTGTGCGCTGGACAACATCTCAATCTCTACAGGGAGTGATGTTCTGCTAGAGAAGTTCACTAGCAACTACCACTCAATCCATGCTCTTAGTCAACCTTTGGCAAGTAAACTTATCCGTTCATGTCTCGAAGCATCGGAAGAAATATGCGCACAAGTGATGAGTTCAATCGGTGCTAATGATGAAGCTACAACGTCAGAATCCATTGTTAATGCAGATCATAGCTATGCTTCTTGGTAACAAGAAGTTCTAATATTGTAATGTTTTTAGTTTTACATAAATTCATTTATATGGCCATTGACTTATGCTTATAGCGTAACGGCAGGGAGTGTACTGTGCAGTCTTATGTGGCTGTCAGACAGGGATGTTGTTTCGCGTTCTTGTGTAATGATTACCAGTTTGGCGCACACGCGATTAGTCATACATACCGTTTACCAAATACTGCAACCTTGAACATGGTGTACCATACTAGTAGTTCGAATTTCGACCTGTCACGATAGATAAGAATTGCCGTAATTAAAAGACCGGTGCGTTATAAATGAAAACGTTTATTAAAGTTTGAATCTAGCACAAATGATCCATTAATAAATAACTTCTATTTCTCAGGAATTGTTCCCGTTAGGTCTGTGAACATTTGCGAAGCCAGCTGGAAATAAGATAGACAGGAAAGGTATTTCAGCATAAATGTTTACCAGAAACTAGTATAAAAACGGAAACCAGTATTCAACTACAGATCGAAAGTGCATTTAGCACACCCTGCTTTAATCAAATCCCATGGTTGGAATACACTGTCTCTACTAGGTCCATGTTATTATCATCTATCCCAGACAACCCAAAAAGGGGAAATAATGAGGGGAAAAGGGGAAATAAAGGGGTAAATGCTTTGGTGGCGAAAGGGGAAATAAAGGAGAAAACGCGCCAGAATGTCGCCTTTTTCGCCTGTCCGGGGGAAATAATGCGGAATTTCCCCTTTTTGTCGACAGATTACCCACTTATCGCCTAAATATCCGCCGAATTGTCGCTTTTTTCGCCTAAATATCCGCCGATTTGTCGCTTTTTCGCCTAAATATCCGCCGATTTGTCGCATTTTCGCCTAAATAACCGCTGAATAGTCGCGTTTTCGCCTAAATATCCGCCGAATTGTCGCCTAAATATCCGCTGATTTGTCGCATATCCGCCTAAATACACACATTACACCCTATTTTCTATCCATCGACAGAAGACCAAAGGTCTCCTGCATTCGCCTTTATTTTCAAAAACAGACAAAAATATTTCTGCAATGCAGTTTGAAAGCGGTAAATTTTTTAAAAATTGTATTTAAAAAGAAAAGCCTATTATTGTACAACAGTAGAGCACAAGCTTAAGCATCCATTGTTATGCATATCCAATGCAATTGCTAATTCATTTTTATAGAAAATTATCTGAAAAAGAAGGAACAGGTTTTGTTTTATTCATAAGCAATGTCCATTTGATCAAAAGTTCACTCAAACTCAAACACATTCTCAACAGTTTCCCAAGTAAGTAAAAAAGTAAGCTGTTTGAAAGAAAAATGTTTATTGACATCGAGGTAGAACACCAAAACAATTGCACGGACTATTCGGAATTGAGGTAGTCGTCCTGTGAATTCTGAATTAAAAAAAAGGTCACAACCGTATCTCAATGATATGCTTTGGCATACCCAAATACTTGAAGCTGAACTTACGGTTATGCTCGTTAATATTGTTGACTGTAACTATAGAGCCGTAGGGAGGTTATCACTTTAAATCTGTACATACCTGGTTATCTTTTCTCCTAGAACGTTTTATCATCTTGTCTCGGATGTCGTGAAAGTAACCTTGGGTCGCGATGTCGTAGAGCTTACCAAGGTCTTTTTCGTTGACAGAGGATGACAAAAAGCGATGAGTCAAAGCACCTGAAGTTTGAGTAATAGATAAAGGTTACTTCGTATGCAGCCGTAAAACGTGCATTTCTGCAGTGCTCGTTTTGAAGAGGTGCCAAGTAACGTGAATTTACTGGCAACCTCAGGTGTCAACAGATACGACAGAACAAACCGCATGGACGCTTTTGGGTCGTCACTTGATAACCTAGTGACCATTGCCATCTGTAATCGTCACAAATAATTAAATTTATGTTAATGACTTACAAATCTGTCCCTGGTTTCTTTCTGCGACAAACCAGTATCAAGCATCTGCAGTTCCTCTTCAGATGACAAAGGAAACTGCTGACTGGACAGTCCGCAGTCGAATTGATGCGGTTTTTCGCTCTCATGAAACTTCGATAGCAGTTGGTTAACATTAACATTCAAGTCAGTAATGGCGGACGACATGTTGTTAATCGTTTTTGTCAGTTCACTGATAGCTGACGACATGTTCAGCACCAGTGTATACAACCTTTCACTGCTGAAAAACGTCACTACATGATGCAGGTAACTTACTTGTCCACTATAGCGCCGCCAACATGCTTACATTCCGATGTCGAAGGTGATGTCTCTAATTGTGTCGAACTAATTCGTGAATATCTAAATACTAATTAAACGTACTTGGCGATATGAATTTTTCGAAAACACGGAATTTTGGATATTGTACGGGGACATTCCTAGACTGCATCTCAGCCACATCCATGTCGACTGAATTGTAAAGAAAATCTTCTTTACGCTTCATTACACCTCTGGGAAATGTTAGTAAGATTATTGTACAGACCTTTTTGGCTTTTCAGTGTTAAGTGGCAAAGTGTTTTCATCCGTTGAGGTGTTTTTCCGTTGAGACTCCAGTATCTGTAGGGCAACTAACAGATCTTTTGCCGACTGGAGAGAATCTATGGTGAATTATCCATCCTGTGTATGTAACGTACCTAATTCGTGAATCACTTTACATTTCATAAATGACCAATTTTCATTCGGTTGGTCGCTCTTCTGAAGATGTATATCTACATGCTCGTTCGGAAAAGCGCACAGTTCCTTTCCTACGATCCAATCTTTGTGTGCTACCATCAGTTGTTTTTTGCTCAGGACGTCAACAATGACGTATTTCTTGTTAGCAGGCTGAAAATAACAAGACGTAATTAAATGATTTATCGTCATTAATTGAACACTAGTGAAACAAAATGCATTTACAATAAAGTATGTAACAATGGGATTATAACTACATAATTGATACAGTTGATGGCTATACATTTACAATCAATGTCCTTAAGTGATATCCATGTGTGTTCATGGCTAACTACGGAGCACCTAAAAATTCCAATATCAGTAGATGGGAATGGATCTTCAAAGTAATTGCGTGGGTCAGTGAAAGTCCTAAATTTTAGTAGTCCATCCTCCTTTATATCAGTGATTAAACCTGGCTGGCCGTTCACTACTACTACATTATAATGTCAGCCTGATATATCAGGCTGACATGAAGTGATTTTACTACTGTTAAACATAATTACTTGTTTTGTAGAGACATCAGTTGCGCCTATTGGGGTAGTATTAGTTAAGCCACTAATTTGAAGCCTATCGCTGAAGGACATTCTCTCAGCATAACGCTGTGCTGCTTGCTTAGCCACTGCAAACCCACTACGCACGGAATCCTTAATTTGTCTCATATAAGACTCAAATGGAAAGGCTGAAAAACTATCTAAAGGTCCATGTGCACGAACGTCGTCAGGGAGGTGCTGTAACGAATGCACATTGTAAACTAAGTGTTCACACCCATAACACCATTCATATTCATTCATGAAGTTTAGTAATTCCATTCTGGCGGTTTCTACAACACTTTTATGTACTTTGGGATGTGCAAGCAGATACATGGATAGCGCTAAACGCCGGAAATTAAGATAATAAAGTTGTGGCAATGTCTTTTCAAGAATATGCTATATAGCATATACATAATATTCACAATACTCAGGACACCTAATGTTTTCACTATAAAGCTATTTCTGCCATAAAAGTCGAACAAAACAGTGAAAATCAGCAGAAATTGTGATAAAGACGGGAAAAACGATATATCTTATCATGGTATCGTTAGTTGTAACGCAGTTTTGGTAGTCTTGACGACAATACAATTTTCATGACGATATATGCCTGAATCATTCTATTTCATATAAAAATAAAAGATTTGTCTACCATCAGTGTATACCTCAGTAAAAGTAATTGCTAGTCTGCGATGCAAATACGAAAAAACTATTATAGCAGTTCCTGAATAGTGAATTTTCAAGGACTTCGCGATAGCATGTAACGCAAAATAAAAAAACCCTTTTTCACCTAATTATAGAAACGGAAAATAGACTTTCAAATTTATTCATAATTAATTTCGAAATTTGATTGTGCACAAAGCAGAAACAAAAAAGTAGCCTAAAAAGGTGTCGCGATATCCCTGGAGCGCTACCGAGGCAGAGTAGCCAATATTCATGAAGGAATGTCCAAGGTATAATTACTCAGTCCAATTTTCTTTTATTAAGGTATTGTTAGGAAAGAGCATTTTAATAGGTTAAAGAAAATAAATGTTAACAGGGCATGAGTGGACATACAACTGACAAACGGAGGGGATTCAGAAAAAAGCTGAGAGTATGGGATTATGTGTGGTTCTAAAATAAAATATAGTGCTAGAAACAGTATTGTGATATACAATTGGCTATCCTACTTTTTTATCGAAGCTATTAGATCCTCTTTCATTTTTTTGTACTATTGTTTTTCAGGTATCATAGGGTCTTGAGTAGGCTTCGTATATTAGCGAATTGTCTAGTTTGCTTGTAATAGGATTTCTGGGTAGCAAGTGAAACCAATTTAACGTTCGTAACACGACTTTAAGAGGTATTTTGCGTGAATAAATCAGCTTCAATACCATAAGTTCGTGACATCCCACTAAACCATAAGGAGCCATAATTAAACAAAATGTTCTTCCCCACCGACATGGGTGGATTGAAGTTATCTCCCCACCATCATGTTTGCTGGTCAGTAACGCCACCCTCTCTCCTTTTGTGATGTTAGGCTCTTTTACGTTTGTGGTAAGTATGAATACTGCTTTAATCAAATCCCATGGTTGGAATACACTGTCTCTACTAGGTCCATGTTACAAGCGAATCAGATAGTTGAAAAGTCTGTTTTATGGGTTAGATGTCCACATAGTATATCACACTGCTATGAAAATAACTAATGGTTTAAAGAAGTAAGGACTAATAGCAAATCAAAAGATATGAGAGGGTATAAAATTGTGGGGAAAATAAGAATTTCAAGGTAAGACAAATAAAACATTGAGAAACTCACAAGACGTTGTGGCCAAATTTTGAGCTTTGAATGGTCGGCCTTAGTAGATCAGCATCCATAAGATTGAGCTGTCTACTTGCAGTAGAAAAAAAGCATGACTTTTAGGAAGAATAATGTACCTGTAGAGATTTGGGAACTGAAAGCTAGGGTTAGGAGCATAAGGCCATGAATAATAAACAATGAATAATAGGAAGGGATAAGCCATATATTCTGTGATTTGGTTATATTCATATTAGTAACAGTCGGACTTGTTATAATTTTGTTCTTTCTAGATACTAGGCGGTCCGTAATAAAGTGCCTTATTGGTTCTTCAGGCCTCTTTGTCCAAACACCTGTTATTTGACCTACGCTAAATATTGACGTTTTGTTACTTAATTTACAGTTGCATGTTGCAGGTTCATTGACAATAGAATTGGATTTGACTTCCTTCAAGGTCACGGCGTGAAGTCGGTGAAGTCGGTCTGTAAAGCTACTGTTCAACTCGCCACTAGTAATGATAAACCTTCTAGTTTTGATTTTGTTAAGTCGGGTAACTATGACTCTCTTAAGGTAGTCAAATGCCTCGTCATCTAATTAGTGACGCGCATGAATGGATTAACGAGATTCCCATTGTCCCTATCTATTATCTAGCGAAACCACAGCCAAGGGAACGGGCCTGGCAGAATTAGCGGGGAAAGAAAACCCTGTTGAGCTTGACTCTAGTCCGACTTTGTGAGTAGACATGATGGATGTAGTATAAGTGGGAGCTGGGTGCTTCGGTGTCCAGCGAAAATGTCACTGAAGCCTAAGGTAATAACCACCAAGCCAGGGTACATGCAGTTCAGCACGAAGCCAGGTGCATGCCATATTCAACCAATGGAGCCCAGGGTAATAACCACCAAGCCAGGGGATATACAGCCCAGCACGAAGCTAGGTGTATGCATGATTATATATTTTTGGGTTATGTTAGTGATCCCTACGCAGGTTCACCTACGGAAACCTTGCTACGACTTTTACTCCCTCTAAATTGTCAAATTAGGTCATCTTCTCAGCACCAGTCGAGCGGCAACGCCACTACAACGACATCAATCCAACGACCTCAATAAACCATTCAATCGGTAGTAGCGACGGGCGGTGTGTACAAAGGACTGGGACGTAATCAGCTCAAGCTTATGACTTGCACTTACCAGGAATTCCTCGTTCACGGGGAATAATTACAAGCCCCGATCCCAGTCACGACGGTGATGAAACAGTTTGCCCAACACTTTCGGGCCAGGTTTCCAGACTCGCTGGCACCGTCATTGTAGCGCACGTGTGGCCCTGGACATCTAAGGGCATAACAGACCTGTTACTGCTCAATTTCGTGCGACTTAAGTAAAAACTGGCACCGCACCTGCCGAATCACGACCACACTACTCCATAAAGAAGCAATAGAAGCCGCTCCCTAAACGAGCACAGAAGACCAGTCTACTATTTAGCAGGTTAAAGTCTCGTTCGTTATCGGAATTAACCAGACAAATCGCTCCACCAACTAAGAACGGCCATGCACCCGTCGACGTGAAGCGATAGGATTGAATGGCAGTGTTACAGTTAACAATCAGCCATAGACATTTTGCAACACAGCAAATAGTTTGAAACACACGAACAATAATCATGACACCACTCCACATGCGGCTGATCACTCTGTTGATCTAGATGTGTCTACAGATCAGAAACCTTTGGATAAGATACGGACCCCAACTGACACCAAAAACCATAACGACATGACTAATCCCAGTTGTTCGTTTAGTTGCAAAATGGGTGGTGGTCTTCAGCGTAGCAAGCCTTCTTACACGCAGACTAACGAAAATTACCAAAGAACTTGCCACCCAAGTCACCCCTTGAAGCCTAAAACCATAAATACGAATGGTAATAATAGGTTTCTCACCCCACACCCTACCTACATTCCCCAGGATCGCAACTGTAATTACTCTCAAAATGGAAACTTTTCACACTCATTAGTACCGACCCATCACATAACAACGGCTCCCATGTATAATAACAGTCGCAACTCCTCCCAGTTATGCGTGGCAGTCCCCTCACGCTAACGTGGATAGCCATAACATGGGCTACGAGTCTAACGATCAAGACTATTTTATAAATAACCATACACTTCACAGTAGGCCTGTACAAGATTTTTTTGGAATAAGACCCCTAGTGACACGTCTGTTGGAGCATATAGGGCAGGTTATTTCAAACCACATGCAAACCATAAATTTGTTTCCTCCGTACAATTTCCATCAGAGAGTACTCCCACACTTTCTTCCTGGGTAAACTCCCCAATCAACTTCACTAGCTCATTTGATACATCTCCCACTAAGTCTAGCTATCAAAATGGCAATTACCATTAAACCTCAACAAGTGCGGGGTCATGCACTTTGGAAAGCATCCCTATAAACCGCAACTTCACTTAAATGAAAGTAGAGTCCAAACACTCGAATCAGTACGCGATTTAGGAATTAATTACACAGGAAGCCTGAACTTTGAAGAACATGCCTCCTCTATTATTTCTAAATCTAGACGGCTAATTGGCTTTATAATGAAAAACTTTTTCACAACAGAGGGTAAACTTACTCTCTACAAAATATGTGTAAGACCCTCCCTTGAATACTGCTCTTTTGTATTCTCTAATATGAATATCACAGACAAGATAAGAGTAGAAGATGTTCAAAGACGTTTCACACGTCAACTACTAGGATGCAACTCGAATCTTGATTACACAGACAGATGTAAGCATCTATCTTTAGAACCCTTATGGCACCGTAGGCTAAAAAACAATTTAATATTTCTCTACAAAGCGATATATGGGCTCTCCTTTCTAACCTCCTGCCCGACTATTACCCACGACCCAGCCTATAGACTTAGAAACAACGCATATACACTACTGACCGTAAAACACCAAAAACAAATGCGTTGTAAGTTCTTTACAGTACGGTACAGTTTATTGTGGAACAGGCTGCCAATGCCTATCCGTAATTGTGATACGTTTATCAGATTCAAAAGGCTAATAACCCTATTTCTAGACTCCAAAGAGCTTCAACATTTCCTTGAACTCCCGCCCACCAATGAGGCACTTTATTACGGACCGCCCAGTATCTAGAAAGAACAAAATTATAACAAGTCCGACTGTTACTAATATGAATATAACCAAATCACAGAACATATGGCTTATCCTTTCCTATTATTAATTGTTTATTAATCATGACTTCATGCTCCTAACCCTAGCTTTCAGTTCCCAAATCTCTACAGGTCAAATGTACATTATTCTTCCTAAAAGTCATGCCTTTTTTTTTATTCCACTGCAAGTAGACAGATAGCTCAATCTTATGAATGCTGATCTACTAAGGCCGACCATTCAAAGTTCAAAATTTGGCCACAACGTCTTGTGAGTTTCTCAATGTTTTATTTGTCTTACCTTGAAATTCTTATTTTCCCCACAATTTTATACCCTCTCATATCTTTTGATTTGCTATTAGTCCTTACTTCTTTAAACCATTAGTTATTTTCATAGCAGTGTGATATACTATGTGGACATCTAACCCATAAAACAAATTTTTTTAACTATCTGATTTGCTTGAAACTTGGACCTAGTAGAGACAGTGTATTCCAACCATGGGATTTGATTAAAGCAGTATTCATACTTACCACAAACGTAAGAGAGCCTAACATCACAAAAGGAGGGAGGGTGGCGTTACTGACCAGCAAACATGAAGGTGGGGAGATAACTTCAATCCACCCATGTCTGTAGGGCAGAACATTTTGTTTAATTACGGCTCCTTATGGTTTAGTGGGATGTCACGAACTTATGGTATTGAAGCTGATCTATTCACGCAAAATACCTCTTTAAGTCGTGTTACGAACGTTGAATTGGTTTCACTTCCTACCTAGAAATCCTATTGATAGCAAACTAGACAATTCGCTAATATACGAAGTCTAATCAAGACCCTATAATAACTGGGGGGAAAATATTTTTAAAAAAAACGAAAGAGGCTCTAATAGCTTCGATATTAAAGGGAAGACAGCCAAATGTATATCACAATACTGCT